AGTATTAAACACTGCAGTATGGGTACAGCCATGGGTAAATAGCTTCTGGGTTTGAAGTAGATTTGTGGGTTACAGGTCAGGACATGTATGAGAGACAGGTCTTTACAAGCTGATATAATCAGTCCTCTAATTGACTAATTCATAAGACAAGAAATCCTCTACGTTTCTGAACATGTTGCAAGAATAATTATCTCTTGCTAAGCCATTTTCACCGGCAGCATATCCATGTTCAATCTTCTTACCCTTTAAAAATTCTCTTGATCGCATCTTTTGTGATTCTCCTCTTCAAGAATGCTTGCCAGCAGGGCAAAGAGGATTACATTGGGGCAAAACCGGAAGTGTAACTTCACAAGCCATCCATACATTAGCAAGCTGTCAAAAAGGTTTACGTACATGGCAATAAATTCAATTACAAGGGGTAGGGGATCTTGCTATGTATCTGATCTTATTCTGTAGGCTAAGGTCACAAGGGCAGTGAATGCAGAAGGAAGCCCAGTGCCCTTGCTTTAAAGTCACCATTTGATCCATGCTGACAAACCTCTTGCAGTGAAAAAGAAAGCCAGGGAGCAAAATAACTTAAATGGATAGTGCAGACCAAGCTTTGTATGCATTAACAGTAGAATAACTGGTGAATTTGGAAGTGTATACTGATATGTACGACTTAATCCACCCTTTCATACTCAGCAGATATGAAGCACTTGGCAGCTTTTGAAAACACATGATAGTGACTAATTTTGATGTCCGTGTGAGCACACAGCCTCAATGCTAAATTTCATAATTATATCCCTTGCTCCACCAGACTGCTAATACTAAAAACGTTAGTTGTACCCCGAAACACATCAGTTTAGCACAGCCTATAATATTCCCTAGCCATCTATTACCTCAAATACTTTACATTATGATTGACTGTGAGCTTCTTTCCACTCCTTTGCCTTATCTATTTGAATCCATTGATATGCTCTCTTTCATCCTACTTCGTAATTACCTTTGTATCCTTAATTCATTTACTTATCTCTTAGGATCGTTTTGTGTTATAAGCACCCCCAGGACTCTGATAAACACTTTAAATCTCTGAACTCAGATATATATCAATTGTATGACTTTTATATGACTTTTTATTATTCAATCACCATTACTTATTGTCAAGGAGAATCTGAGAGAGGAATACATGGATGGCCACTGTTGACCCCCTTTCCTAAACGGCTAGTTGCCTGGCTTTCACACTGATTCAGTGGCTTTCTGTGATCTAGAACTAGTATGTAGATCAGGAGTTCTGATTATGTTTTTGCTTTGACTTCACTTACTGCATTCTTCCTCTGGGTCATTGCCTCAATCTAATTAATGCACAACAAGTACTTTCAACAGAAGGCCACCAATGGCAGCCTAGAAATTTATGTCGCTACAGGTTTCCTATAACAATGAATATAGTGTTCCATATAAAAAGCACTAATGAATATGGTGGTGCTATATGGCAGTGTTCTTTTTAAGAATTTGCAATGCACAGAAAATAAAGTTACAACTGTAACAACATATGTGCCAGCCAGTTCCATAATCCAAGTATGGTGAGATGTATCTGTTTTAGAAATAGGGTGGCATATAATATGTGTCATTTGTTTGTCATACTCTTAGAATATGTCTGAAGAGAAGCATGAAGCCCTTAAAAAGATCTTGCCTTCTATTTCTCCATTGATGCACTCCATCCATGGTAAGAATAGTTTGTGGGACTTCTATGGACAATTCATACTAATATAAGTTAGCTTATAAAGAGGTAGACAGAAATGTATTATTTAATCCAGTGTTTCATGTTGGGTGCTGATGCCTGCTTCTTCTTCTGTCCTTTTGGTCATCTTAAATTGTTGTAGAAATACCTTAACTGCAATCTCAGTGGCTTGAGACCTAGAGTGTTCCTCATTGTCTTGGAATCAGGTAATAGGGGGAATGATCCACTAGCTTGTGTTCTTTTTTGTAAATGTGTTGGTTTGGTCCCAAAATAATGTTTGAGGACACAGCCAGGACTATACTATAACCACTAAAGTGTTGTTGTTAGTTGATATTGCTTTATGCATCTAAATGTTTGAACATATCTTAGACATAAGGTTAAACTATTTACACTTCATTCATGTCAGTGCCACTGCAAAACTCTTCAGCAGAAGGGGAGTTTGACTGTCCATCACAGATTATATCTCAGTCACCATTTTATTCATGTTGAGAAACTCCATGGATACATTGCAATAGTTACAATGTTTAATAAGCTCCACCCTCTCTCTGCTAAGCCCCAGCCTTTCCCCCACTATGCCATGGCTGGTTCAAAAAAATCTATGCCTCCACTTCATGTATAAGGAAAAGGCATATGCATTGTCCCTGCTTTCAGCAGGAAGGAGGAAAAACAGCTTAAAGCTGAACCATTTAGAGGCAAAATATTACGTAGCATTTATTGTTTGATCCAGCTATAGCAAATATCTTTGAATTTGTCACACCTTTAATTTGTAGTTGTGACAACACAGACATGTTTACTTTCTACTAAATGTGTTTTTAATGTGAGATCACTTGGATCTTCTGCATTAGTCGTGCAAGAAACTTTAATTTCCCAATGAGTTGGCAGGTATGGATGCACTATAGGTAGCAATTAGCACACAGCAAGGAGTCTTTGCTTAATGGACCTTGAGAAACATGTTGGAGCAACCTACGCAGGTTCTAAAATTATTCCTGGAACTGATAATAAGTCTTCAGCTATTTATGTTTGAATGCTAAATGCAGTAAACATATGTCTCTCTTTAGAAACTCATTATTACAATACCAGTAGAACAGTATTCTGTTTCGAAACATGTACTGTAGATTTATTTTGTATAACGAAATGGGACAAACATAATGGGGGTTAAATAATCAAGCCAAAGTGAAGTGAGCAGAATCCTCTTCGGCTATTTATCGCAGCCCTGTACGGCTGTATTTCACCTCACTTCACATCCTTTCGGTTCAGCTGAACAGCCTCAGCATGTTCGGCTGAACCGAAGGGAAGAGCCCGTTCGCCTTAGCCGCTGCAACATTTGGATCATCTGAGGCGAACATTCGGCACTTCATTCTCTGCTGTTCACCCCTATTCTCATAGATGCTGAACAGCAGAGAGTGAATAGCCGAATGCTGCCGAGCAGCATTCGGCTCAGTCATTCTGTTTGCTACCTCAGAAGTAGCGAACAGAATGAAAACTGACAATGTAAACCGGACAATGGCCTCTTCCCCACAACCCTGGCCCGGTGGTTTTGGGGGTTTCATCAAACACTGTAATCTATGGTCAATCACGTCATCCAGAGATGTAATCCAGCATCAATCACGAATCATGGATTACAGCTTTCAGCAATATTTTTTTGTTTTTACAATGACGGAGCTGTCAAAAACTGCCTTTGTGTTTTTGTTCAATTAAAGGTTTTTTTTCAAAAGGTGTTGTGTGGTTGTTTACTTTTCTCTTTGGTGAATGAGTAGTGGTAACAACTACCCCTTACTCATACGAAAGGAGGGGGGGTGCATCTGAGGGGGTAACCAGATGCAGATGAGCCCCCCTGCACACAGGCTCTTCACAACTACCAGGCCAGGGTTGTGGGGAAGAGGCCCTTGTCCTCATTAGCATGGGCACAAGGTGCTTTTCTAGGGGGTCCCCTCCTGGAAAAGCACCCTTCCAATGCTGTGAACATGTGGCCTGGTATGGTGCAGGGAGGTAGGGGGGCATTTGCCCGTCCCCCTCTTTTCCTGCCCTGCCAGGACACTGCTCGGATTAAGGGTCTGGTTTGGAATCTAAGGGGAAACTTTTGAGGGGAGCCCCACGCATTTATTAAAACTTCACCCACATGATATCTGGTTAAGCTTCAAAATCCTCACTTCTGACAAGCTCCTGAAACATGTACAGCATATATTTATATTCATATGTTAGGTAAGATGTCTTAAGGTGAACCTGTCAGAAGCATTCACTTTCCATCTGCTACCCTGCTTCCCTAATGTGCTTCCAGAGTGTCCTACAGAATTGCGCAATGTCTGACTTTCTCAAAAGCATAATCTTACACTGGATATAAAGGCTCCTCGCCACCAGAACCTGGCAGCATTCTTTTGCAATTGGCTGGTCAGGCACTGAGTGCTGAATTCTGGGAAAGCTGGAGAAGTGCTGCCTGTTCTTGCTGGTTACATATGATGGGTTGCATGTTAAACCACTCCTTAGCAGGATGTCAGCATTTGGCATAATAGAACACCACATATTTAGGGGCTCCAGGGCCATTCTGTTAAAGAACTCATTATACTTTTAGGCCTTGTTCACACTGAAAGTGTGTGCGTTCCAGAGTGGTAGTGCGTTCCAGAGTGGTAGCTGCTGGAACGCACCGGGATCGCTGAGAAACTTCCCCTTGCGTTTTGGGTATGGGAGGGGGTGTGGTGGTGCATTGAATTCAATGGCACCTCTTCCACGCCCCCCGCCTGCAGTGCAATCGGATGCCTGGCAAAACTTTCTCAGCAATCGCGCTGCGTTCCAGCAGCTACAGCTCTGGAGCGCACGCGCTTTCGGTGTGAACAAACCCTTAGGTTTCTAGACTCTAGATTAGATTTCCTAATTCTAGGTGCCAGAATATAGTACTTAGTATCAGTTATAAACACTGTCTGTCCTAACAAAGGGTTAAAAATCTCAAGGCTTGGGTTCTGCGTTGTATGTTATTGAGGGAAACTCAGTCTGTTCCCAGTTTGTTCCCCCACTTTGTTCCCCCACTTTCACTTTGAAATTGTTCAGAGTAGCTTGCAATCTACCAAACGGAATGCAAACAACTAGAAAGTAATAGAAATAAATATTTTGTTAAAAACATTTTCTTTAGAGAATGGGAATAACAAACATAAAGTTGGGTTTTTGGAAATTTGACTGCAAAAGTGAAAATACACTTTAAGTTCCCTTTTCATACTTTTTTATAATGTATATTTTTGAAGAGCCAGTGATAAAAAATATCTACTTATGGAGAAGAAAATTAGCTCACCTTTTGATGACAGGCTGCTGTTTGGCTCATATTTCTCAATTAGCTGTTGAACTTGTTCTTGTTTCAATGGTGGATAGAGAATTTCATTTAGTCGTGGATCCCGCTGTTTTAGGTTAATGAATTCTGTCATCTGGTCAACTAAGAGGTATGATCTACTTTTTGTGCCACTGCAACATAACAATATGTTTTTTTGTCTTACTACAAAGATCAATAATATGGACAAATAATAAACACGGACTCAAGCACCAAAATCTAACATTCAGAATAACTTCACATGCAACCGGCAACAACAAAACACATCTAACATGTTTTCTAACAATTTGTCTAGAAGGGCCTTTGTTAGTTCTCAAATTAATCTTCCTGTGTCTGTTCAATTCCTTCAACTCTCAGTCATGGACTCTCTGGCATTAATTCCCACTCCCACCATTCAACATCCCAAAGCAAGATTGTCTAATGGCCACTGAATTTGCACAATATAAATTAACAAACATACTTTGAAGCACAATAAATAGTTTTTCTCTTTGGGGTATTAGTAATTTGAACAGTGAGCTAACAAGTTTACTTTAAATCCTTAATTTATTTGTATTTCATTGCTGCAGTCACCCTATCCTTCATTCTTCCAGTGCAGACCAGCACTTGGCCACAGATAGGACTAAGCACCTTTTGTTTTTTAGATTTATATAGCATTTTAAAACTGCCAAAATATTTTTATTTTTGCATAGACACAAAAGGAAGTGAAAATCTTCCCAAAGTGGAAATGCCACCTTTCAAAGATGTCAATAACAAGAAAATATTGGCATTTTTCCCCTCAGATGACTCTTCCTCAAATGCTTTGCGGTTAGAGTGCTAAGTGTGCAGGCACCAGATGTTCTTCTATGTCATAGTGGGGGTAGAATATAACATTGGGGAGAGGCAATCCTCCTCCCTTAGTAAAATAGCCACTGGAAGCGTTGGATACAAGATCTCGTATCTCTAAACTGCAAGATCTCGCAATTTAGATACAAGATCACCCTGGGAGGCACTGGTGACTTAGCCTCCTTAGGGGTCAGTTGTGAGGTCCTGACTATGTGATCAGTGCCTGCTGAAAACCAAGAAGTGATCCATGAAATGGGAAGGGAATCCCTGCGGGGGGCGGTGACTGACAGCCACCGCTCACTGCAGGGAGATGATCAGGAAGTGAGCGGATTGGCTCCATGTTTCTGCTCACTTCCCGATCAATAGAGCCAACCTGTGACAGCTTCTTTGTCACAGGTCAGCTCTTACTATAAGGATGAGTGAAAATCACTCATAGTTCTCCTTTAATGATGTTTAATGATATCCATGTAGAGATGCATGCATCATTCATTTTTCTGTTTGGGTGATAAAGGAAACGCAGTAGTATTGGCACTAACAGAATTTCTAAAATGCAAAATAGAAAAACCATCAAGCTGCAATACTGCAAGTGCCTACTATACTCTTGAATGTTTTTGCAAACTGTTAGTCCACCCAGGCTTCTTAACTCAACTCAGTTCATTCCTTCAACTACATTACTTACACACATAAAAACACACGTTTACTTTTTAAGAGAGTATGAGCACACAAACATATACTGTACATATATAAAATGTAAACAGTAACGCTTTCTTACAACTCTGAGAATATGTTGTCTATCTCAGGTCGAGGACATAGATTGTTTAGGAAGGTTCTGTAAACATCTGGGGTGAAGTCATCCTGAGGAATTAAATCACTCTGCGAAGGAAATAGGAGAAAATTGAAATTCAAATCTATTTAGTTTTAACATATGGAAAGTGAATGACTAAATACATTTTATGGCAATCCAGTAAATGCATATTCTGGAGTTTTAGAAAATGTCTTGTATCTAAGGGGGTTATTCACAAAAGGGTGAAGAGTTTGGAGAAGGCAGGAGAAGTGAACAATCTAGGACAACATAGCTGATTTGGAAAGTGAGCTGAATTGGTGAATTTTTCCTAATCAGCTATGTTGTCCTAGATTGTTCACTTTTGTCAATAACCCTGTAAATTTCCCTTGTGGTGACTAGATGAAGATAAGATAAATATAGATAGACAGATATTAAAATGGTGTGCAACCTTGGTATAAGAATACCTCCTTTAGTATACGACCTTCACAATGGAGTTGATGCATGATAAGCAAGTAAGCAAATGTTTTTGTGCACGCAGCAACCAACCAGAATCTTTGTTTCATGTTCAGACCAGCACCCCAGGAAAGGCAGTTGGTAGTGTATTAATTACTATGGCAAACAATACTTTTTTTATACACTTTTCAAATACCAATTTCATTATAAATTCTAATAATACCTTCTTGTGAAAATTCCCAGACACACAAAATCACAGATGTTTCTCATGTATTCATATCAGATATACTATTTATTTTAAAAGGATTATTGCTGTTAAAGTGAATGTATAGCCCAAATATTTTTGGATCAAATAGTGAATAGCTAAGACCCTTGTCAGTTGATTTTTTTTCTGTTTCTATTGGGGTGAGTCACCTTCACTTCCTGTCTCAACAGAAAGTTACAGAAAATATATCTGAAGTGATACTACTTTGTATTTACATTTTTTTAATTTTCCTTGCACATGATTAGGTATGCTTTGCAAAATTAATTTTCACCACATTCACTAAGCTAAGGAAAAATTATTTTGCAAAGAGCAATTTCCCCTTGGGGAATAGCCTATTTGCCTTTAGTAAATCAACCCCTATAAATCCAGTGGATAGCATTACAAATTTGTTTTAAACCTGTTGCTGTGCTCATGCTACTGTTTAACGTTAAAACGTAATTCAAAACTGTATTATTAGTTTTCCACAGTTGTTTTTATTGTGTTTCTTTAGATGGTATTCCCCTTGTTTCGTGCCCTAATGACAAGAGACAGACATTGAGGAGAGATCCCTTCAAGAGAGACAGATTCAACAATATAACCCTCTGTAAAAAAAAAAAAATTTCGGCCAGAGTAAGTCTTAATTAGAAAATCAGCATACGTAATATGGGCACTTGACGAAATACCTATTGTTTAATTTAAAACGTGAGCACGTAATCTAAAACAACTTGAGCCCGAAGTTATATAAGTCTTTTAATCTAGACTGTGAACTTTTTGGAGGCATCAAAGTTATTAAAATAAAATAACTTGAAAGTTGTATCATTCTAAGTAAAAATTTGCAACCCAGATCTTCAGCTGCTTGGTTAGGTTGAGTCACCTTTTTTTATTAAAATTCAGATTGCTGTTACCAAGTAACAGCTGGATGGTATGTCCGTGTCTGCATTGTTAAAAAGAGATTCCAATTTTCCACAATGCAGTTTTTACAAATGTGGCCCTACTCATATTACAAGTTAAATTAGTTCATTTAAAGTAGAACTAAACTTTAACACAAAAACTGACTTTTGTAGAGCACATAAAGTGCAACATGACCGCACTATTATAATGAAAAAAAAATAGTTTACCTGTTACTTTGTTTATGGTTTCTCTCCCATGTAGACTCTTGTTGAACATTCTCTGTAGGCATATGCTTGATGTGGCTGCACATCACAGTATTACTGCAATAACTACAGAAGTAGTTATTGTAATGTGTCAGTATAATGTGCCAGCGCACTATGCATTGGCACAACCACTTACTGTCCAATGTTGGAGTGAACAGAAAAGGGTGACCACACTGCAGTACAACTCAGTATGCAACTCAGTAAACCAAATATGTTGTTGGTCATGTTCATGAGTTCAAGTTTTTTTTTTTTTTTAGCAGTGACTTAAATCCCACTATCATTCCCTTTAATACCTACTATTTAAAAAAATTCTAATATACATTACAGTATCAGATGTACAGAAGAGAAAAGCTGAGTTTCATGAATACTGTCTTCAGTGTATTGTCCTTTGGTGGCATATTCCAGATCCATCATCTGCAGTTTTTCTGAGTGAATTTTATTAATATTCCTGTAGTGATAATTGTAGCAATCTGTTTTGGATGGGGGGGGGGGCTATGACAGTTGAATCTCCCAGCAGACATTAATCATTTATTCTATTTTTTTATTTCCAGTCTGTTATTGTTTAATTGACTCAAACAGCTGTCTCTAGCAAATTAAGGCATTCTACCAGGGAAATCCATCCTTGGTTGGCAATGTAAAGTGCACATGTCACCTCTAATTAATGCTTCTTGATACAACAGACTATTAAAAAAATGTGATGCTTGGTGTATAGCATTTCCTGTTTTAATGGGGCTTATTCTTAAAAACCAGAGAAAATAGTTATTAAGTTAAAGAAAACTTCACTTTTGTACTCATTTTCTTTTCTTTAGTTTTAATGAATCAGCCCCATCTATATTCTTCGTCTGCATACGCTCACTTATATTATATAATATAGAGAACATGTAATTAAAGCCTAATCATCAAAACCAGACACACACCCCAAGCGGGAAGAACGGTCTGCCGAAGGTCTGGTATGACTTTTGGGGGGAACCCCATGCACTTTTTTTTAAACTCTTTAACTTGGGGTCCCTCCTAACATTCCTACCAGACCTTCGGCAGACTGTTCTCCCCGCTTCGGCTGTGTGTTCGGCTCATTCGAGCCGAAGCATATGCTTTCGGCTCGGCTGAGCTGTTTGGCTTACTTCGGCTGCTGTACCGGCTATTGTGAATAGCCGGTACAGCAGCCCTTCGGTTTGGCTGAACCAGAGGGCTCCAGCGGCCCAAGTGAGTCGAAGGATTAGCCGAAGCTACGGCTATATCCTTCTGCTCTTTAGTGAATAACCCCCATAATCTATATCTATAATTTCCATCTGAAATGTTTTTAGTTCATTCATAATAAAGATTCAAATGCATGGTTAATTGTATAATAAAAGATTCCATTTTCTATTTATTTCTTTATAAGCATTCTGACAAATGACTCCTGAAACATCCACCTGTCCCTTTTCCTTTGTCTATTTGCACATTAACTTGCCTCCTATTTTAACAAATGGAAGCTCATCCATAGCATGTATGACATACTTACTCTGCCGGATGGAAGACTACAAGCCTCTAGTGCTGTTTCCACTCGCTTTCTGTCTGCAGAAAATAGGCGGTATATGCTGCAAAGAGAAAAGAGAAAGAAATTTAGTTTGTGTTAAAACAGAACTATGGACATAGGAAATCTTTGTGATCATATAATCGGGAAACATTCTGGTTCACAATCATCAGAGCTGTCAATGCCAGCCAGGGCTGAAAGCACGCACAAAGGCTCTGTTCACAAAGCTTTACACAGGGCTAAGGATCTTTATTTTTAGCTATGTGGACGGTATTTTCCAATTTTATTGGGCACAACTGAAAATAACTGTCATTTTTTTTTAAATAATAAAGATCCTTATCCTGCTGTTTTCTTTTTGTGACTTGATCCCAGTGTGTTAACTAACAGACATTGTCACAGTATGGACCTGTTCACACAGACATTGGATATTGTGTCATTCACGCTTTCTATGCCTCTTCTATTCCATTTGCTGTATTGCTTTAACTTCAGTGGAGAAAAGTGAGGTCAGAACTTGGCTTTGTTGTCCCACAGGGATGTCAAGACTAGAAGAGTGACTGAACAGAATTACAAATGTTGTGGCATGTTAAGCAGTTCACATGTGTGCACTTTACTGTAAGTATATCTTTTTTCCCCACACTTCTGATCTAACCCCCAATGACAAAAATGTAATTTATTACACACCTCCAGATGTGATAGCTGCATTAGTTTTCTTTTTCAAAGTGTATGTGTGAGTTAAGTTATTCACATAGTTTCTTGGTAAATGTATTCTGTAACTGCTTTTACTTTATTTGGCTCTGAGAATAACTGGTGATCCTGCAAGTTGCCTTTTGTTCCTGTATAAAACTGACCACACAAACCAAGGAACCAGATCCATGCTGGCTTGGTCAGTTTGCTCCCCTGGGATTGCTGCCAGGAGATACAGGACATGCTTGTATCTCCTGTAGTCAGTTTAGTTGCCATGCCCCACTCCCCCCATCGAGCCCTGCTGTGATGATTGACAGGGACTCACCCATGGAGACTCACTGTCAAAACTGCAGACCACATAGATGGGAACTTACAACCTGATCGTCTAACTACTATGTATACACCACCCCTACTAAGGAAATAGAGAAGAGAACGGAAGCAGTGCGGCCACCACAGAAAATACAATTTGGAAAAATAAAATATACAATTTTTTTTTTTTTTTAAAGGAAATACAGTAACGTTAGGAAAAAATATTTGCTGAGTGGAATGTCTTTTTGTAGTTGTGTGTTCATAAATACTTTAAAGCCTATCTTCAGGGGGGAAAAAACTCAATTTGCAGTGTGGGAGCTGCCGCTTGTTTATTGTCTAGTGTGCCTGGCTAAAGCAGTTTTACTTACCTGATCCCCGATTCCCTGGCAGTTGGTGCTCACCTTGACTTCCCTACACTCCAGAATGTGTACTGTCCTTCTGTGTCCTTACACATGTTGCAGGGCTATGGGTCCTGCATTGTACCTGAGCGGGCCTCTGGTCTCCAGAGCGTAGGTGAGAAGATGCTGCGGGCCTGTAGGAGTTGGGATCAGGTAAGTAAAAATCCTTTACCCAGGTACCCATGAGCAGTTTACCCTTGCAGGGGCAGCCCCACTGCAAGGGATTTTTTCCCCCCAGATATTGGCTTGGTGATCCTTTTTATCCTTTATTGTTAGGGTTTACCCTTTAAAGAGAACCTATGAAGAATTATTGAAAAGACCAGTTCATGTTTTACTCTTGTTCTAGTATCTAGTATATAATAGTATGTTCTTTACTTCTATTTTCTTTCTCTTTTTAGGCATGTGCACCCAAATCTAGTACCCATTAACCTATGTTGTTGTCTCAGTCTATTCTATTTTTGATAACTTTTTATTTTTCAAAACCGTAATGACAATAGAAAAATATAATAAGCCACACAACATACCTAAATCCACATGAGTGATAATCTAGACTATTTCAGCTTAAAGACTAAACTAGACCAAACACCAGGGTCAAGGAAGTCTACCTTTCTCCAGATAGGAATTAATGAGGGCCTAGAGTACATTTGAATCAGAGTTGCATTACAATCAGTAGTTCCTGCAACCCTGTGGTAATGAGCTCCAAAGACATACATGTCCGTTTGACTTTTTTATTGCCATTAGTAGGCAAACCCGGACAATAGGCATGCAGATTTCAATATAATTCTAGAGAGAGCAAGCAGACCATGCCCGCCTGTGATGTAAAGTGAGAGACTTTAACTGTTTGCTAAGAAGGGAAGATTTCAGTAATGGTAATCATTGTTTAAAATTGGCAATTACGAATTAACATCTTTTTAGGTTCTTTAGGGGTTAAAAGACACTTCCATCCACAATTGATGTTTCTGGTAGGCACCGGTGTAAGAAAAATATCCCAGCTTCTTCTATCTCTCTGAGACTTTAATGGCATGATTTTCCCATGGTAATGTCTGTCTCTCACAAGACTATATTAGCAACCCTCTCCGGTGGTTTTTTCAAATGATGAAAAAACTGCTAGCTGGTATAACATATTGTATATGCACCTAAACATGTTTTCCACAGCCCTTAGCCACCTTTGCTATAAAGAAAACTAATGTAGCCACAACATCTAAGGAGTTGTAAGCTGCAATATATTACACATTTGTTCTTGGGTTGAGTGAGTATCTTTAAGTAAACAAACTACCCTATTTTTGCTAGCAGTAAAATGAGTACTTTTGCTTTAAAGCCTGTGGAGTAGAGCTATATTGACAATGTATTTGAGAGATTTTGTAGCATAGGATGAAGAGCATACAATATAGCAATGAAAGCTCTCTCTCTTTATTCTCTGGGTGCCACGCTCCTGCATTATCATTATAATTTCATTTCTGTGACCTACTAAAAAATCCTAAGCTTGTCATGATCTGATTTGCCTGAGACAATTTTCACTTTCCCTTTCATCTTCAATCCATGCTTTTTAAGTATGCCCTTGCTGGTATATTCCCTAATGATGTCAAGTATGAACTACATAATTCATTATTTTAATTTAGGAATGCCTTGGAACTTTAAAATAACTTTTTTGTGCAATAAATGATGTGTTCTTAGTTGAACTGATCATTTCATGTAAAATCACCTGACGTTTATTTAAAAATAAATGATCCTGGAAACAGAACAGAGGTGTTTTTTTATCCAGTACAAATACTCCTCTGTTGTGTTCAGTAAATGTTATTTTATAGTTAGTAAACATTAAAAATTAAACTATACTGAAACACATCTGCCCCGGACAATGATGCTCCCTTTACATTTACTCCACCAGTGTGCACTGCAATGCAGTGTAACGCGACGCACAGAACATTTGCAGGTCTGAACAGGAAGCAGGTAGCTATATAATGCCCAGGGTGGGTCTTGCTCTGATCTGTGTCTGAATCATAAAGTATCTCCTTTTAGGGCCCCCAGCCCAACATACTGTATGTTATTAGTACTGGCCCAGGAGGCAAATGCCACCCCC